CAGCAGCAGCAGCGCCCTACGCATCAACGGAATCAGTCATATCAGATCTCGGTTGGACCTCAGATTTCACCCATCAACACCAATGAGTCCACCAGCCCCGACTCCGCCTCCTCAACTCCCACTTCTCCCAGAGCGCATCATGCACGACAGACCCGGCCCATGTACATGCCCGCAGCTCTGCGCCCAAACTTGTTTCCTTCCAAGTCCAATAAAATGCCCATTGATGATGCTGCTTCTGCCTCCAGCATCGAGCCTGATGGCGCCTTGAGACGTACCAACAGCAGCCTCATCAACCTCCCTGGCATGTCCGTCTTCACCAACAAGCTAGCACGTGTTTCGACCGGCGATAGCACTCAGAGCAGCATTGACGGCGATTTCGATCCCGACATGTTCCCCGAAGTCAAGGCTCAGCCTACTCGCAAGCACTGGAAGGTCAGTAAAGCAGAAACGAACCGTCGCTCCATCTTCCTCGCACATCCATCACCTACTTGCATGCGCCATTGTCTCAGATCTATTCAACGCCCCGACTCGTACAACCCCAGACCCCCTCATGTCTCACCCCATCCCAGTTGCCAGCATATTTCGTGTTGTTTCTTTGCTACAGTCAGCTAACATTCTATTTCCGCAGCCCGATGCCGAATCTACTGTTTGTGATGACCCGACTTGCAAGCGGACTTTTAGCTATTTCACTCGACGTCACCACTGCCGAAAGTGCGGTCACATTTTCTGCGACTCTCATTCCACCTTTGCCGCTCCTCTCGATCATGATGCCAAGTTCAATCCTCGCGCTCCCCTTTTCCGAACCTGTCGTCACTGCTGTGAAGAGTTCAAGAGTTGGTATACACGTAATAGCAGCCGTGCTTCGAGTGCCGCCTCTTCGGATGCGCCCAACCCTACCCCCTCAACTCCTATCGGTACCGGTTTTGGAGACGCCTCCGAACTGCCTCGTGGCCCTGAACTCGCTGCCAGTGTGCCTAGGGATTGGAACTGGAGCACTTTCTGAGCAAAATACGACAATTTTGCTCGTTGTCGCCAGTATGAAACATCTGCCGACAACAAAGTTGTCATCTGAAGACGAAAATTTCTAGTACTTTGTCTTTCTCGACGTCGAGATTGAGATCATCCCTGCCTGCAGATACTCCTGTTTCAATGTCATGCTCGATTCAGACTTTGTTGGAGATTCGATACGCCAGCACATGGTTGCCCACCACGTTCCTTACGACACACCTGCCCAAATTGCAGTATGAGATACCCGAAGCCTTCAGCTTCATAAAGCCACCACGGAAGCATTATAGATCGATAGAAATTCCCTGACGAGTGACTTTGATCATCGTCAAGTGTCGCCAACCCCCCATCCATCCTCCTCCTCTCCATTATGCACTTTTTCTGCTGACCTTCATGGTTAAGCAGCGGTTCTGCCTGGCACTACTTTTAGCCTTGTCTCCCACATCTGATTTTATGAGTTCCCCTTATTTACAGCGAGGCGTCCTGGAAAGCAGGCTTGATATGAGCTGCTACGTTGTGGTTATCAGCCCTGGTATGATTACCTTAGCGGCCAGTCTTGAGAGAGCACACACAGAATGCTCCTCTGGTTATGCTATTTAATTCTTGGTTTTTTTCGAAAGGCGTTTTATGAGCTCCCATAGCCTGGTTCAAATTATAGATGGGTTTGGAATTTGCATTGCCATAGGTGGCACGGAAGGGAACTTACGATATGATGACAATTACTTGGCCGGATTGAGTTGGTTGCACCAGATCTCTATGGCCCGTTACTGCTATTAACTAGACTACAATCTACATATTCCCCCACCCATTCATGTCTCTCATTGCTGCGTGTGAGTTGGAGCATCACGTTGCTGGTGATGGGACGAAAGCTGACAGATACTGGTGATGTATAACTAATTTGATTCACAAACTAGCGATACAACGTGTAATATAAATGATCACCCCTGCTTGTTATTGTAACTGCAAGAAGTACATGACTGTAAAGATCCGAGCCCGCGAGCCCCCAATATTGCCTGCGAGATTCGTTACTGACTAGAGAGACTGAAGTTCGGAATACGGAGACTCCAATTCGGGGTCTGGAAAAACACACAATGCGAGCTCGTCACTTATCATGAACATGTGGCCTCCGTGTCATGAATCATTCTTTCAGAGGCCACATCTCACTATGCCCAGCAACAGTCATACAAATGAGTGCTGCGGAACATACAAATGTCCTAACATCGAGAGGCCTCAGATATATATATCAGTATCCGTGAGAATCACTAACATTCACTCATAACAATACGTGGCAAAATCCCAATTTGAAACTTTTTATTGTTGCGACTCAGGCTAATATCAACTCGCGCTTCATACCATCCCACGGGTTGCATCAGATTAGAGTAATATAACACACAAAACGCTTTCTAAATTTTGCTAAGATCAGAGAAAGAAACGGCCCGGTCACCACCCAAACGAGAGACGAGACCACAGATCTGGTTTTTGTTGTTCTTTTGATTTCTTTTGTTTTCCAATTCTTTCCTCCTTAAGCCTTTCGTCGTGGCTTACCATTGGCCTTCTTGGGTGTCGAGGAGCGTGAGGCCTCGTCCGAGGAGCCATTAGCCATGTTGGCACCATCGTAGATTTCCTTCTCGATGCCCTTGGCGGCATCCCAGCCAGCCTTCTCGGCAAGAGCAATGTTTGCGTTGACATCGTGAGCTCCCTTGTGAGAGGTCTTGCTGGCAGCGTTACTTCGCTTGACATAGCTGGCAATGAAGAAGCTGACGAAAAGGTAAGTCAAAGGAGCGAGGTACAACACATTGAGCCATATAGCAAAGGTCTCGCCAGTGGTCATAATACATGGCTGAGTGATGTATTGGGTCTCCGCAGCGAAGGCCTCAGCACTGACAGCCTGTGAGGCAATAGGGTCGGCACCCTCACCAGCACCCCAGATGAACTTCTTGAGAGACTCGACCGCGCCGTCGACAACGGTCTCTTGGCTGGCATCAGGAGCAGCTGTGGTAGCGCCGACTGGAGCGGAGAGTTTCTGAAGTACGGTGACCGGAACCCTGTAAGAGATGAAAGAATGGGCCACAGTGTTACTTGCGCCGACAAGGAATTGTGTGATTTGCATCGAGGTAAGGGTGCGCTTGACGGGAGTAGGGACCCGGACGTTGAAGGCAGTCAGGGTGTAGTAGAAATACTGGAATATGTCAGTCATGGTTATTGGTTTCAAAGTTTTGGGATAGTGACTTACCATGAGGGAGTGGATGAAGGAGTTGATAAGGACAAACTGCCAGATGGGTGCAGACATGTAACGCATACCAGCCCACATGCAAAGCATGGCTCCGGCGTGGTGATATGTCTGGAGGGTAGAGCTGAGCTTGCCCTTGGCTAGAATGATGAATGTATCGAGGACCTCATAGAACTTGCTGAGATAAAAGATCCAGCCATAGTAGGCCAGCCCCTCATTCCAAAGACGACCCCCAACAGTTCCACTGGGCAAACCATCAACGATAGCAGCGTTCTCAGCCGAAGACACAAATGAGCTTGTGGTTTCGTTATAGTAGACGGAGTTTCCGAGACCAGAGGATCCATGGAGACGACAGAAGCTATCAGCCGTACCAGCGAGACCCTGGGGACCAGTGGGGCTGGCAATGCTCCTCTTCATACCAGCAAGCATGCCCCAGAAGGTCCAAGCAGAGTAGACACAGAGGAAGACGTTGTGGAGAACCACGAAGGCAAAGAAAGGACGAGTCTTGCTGATAGCCCATGGCTTCTTGCCGTTGGACTTGTTGTAGATGTTGAGAATCTTAACAGTCACGGCGTACAGAATAGCGATGGTCAGGGGGACCTTGGCATCGAGAGCGCCAGTAAAGATATGCTCGGGAATATTGAATGGCCGTAGGACTGATGTTGGAACCTCGAGGGGCACAATGGGGGCTGGCGCATTTGCAGGAGGGAAGCTGAAGAGGCTCGAATCTGGCGTCGAGCGCAGCAGTTGGAAGTGCTCGGCCATGACGGCGGTCTATGAGTCTTATCTGGGATTTGGTGGGTGCAAGAGTAAGGCAGGAGGTTCAGCTAATCAATTAAGCCTGACACCTAGTCGATTGCTGAAAGATGGTAGTCAATCTGAGGTTGAGTCCGTGCAAATGGTAAAAGCGAAGCACAGATATCGAGCTTCGAGGTTATGAGAATATGTAAGGTGAGGCAAGGCCAAGACAAATCCAATTCAGAGTGGTCCAGCAAGAGAAGAGGAAGAAGAAGAAGA